GATTCCTCGGTCGGCGCCAGACGCCCTTTTTCATGCAGCTTGAGCCGAGGCCCTGCCGAGCTTGCTCTGGAGAGCGCGGCGTTTGGCGCAGAGCGGGAGGGCCAGCCAGCTGGGCGGGTGTCGTCGAAATCGTCGGCGCCTTCGCCTTGGTGATCGGGGTTCGTTTCCGGAGGCTCTGGTCGATACGGCTGGGTGCGACTTGAGAAATGGGGAAGGGAGGACCCCGGGATACCCCCGTCCCTCATGGCAGAAATCCTCAGCTGACAACCAGCACCCATACCGATGTGGCCACAGACATTCACATGCACATGCAAATGCACATGCACATGCACATGCACGTGCACGTGCACATGCACGTGCACATGCACGTGCACATACACGTGCACATGCACGTACACATACACAGCCACAGACATACGCACACACACACACACCCAAACTGGCTACCCCGCGCTGTGAGGGGATAGCTGTCGTCTTATGGTGGTGGATCTGGAGGTGTGGGTGTACGAGTAGGGAACATCAAGAAGAGCTGGACCTACGTGGATCCAGGTGGTTTAATTTGTTTCCTGCCCCAGCGCTGCTGCAAATGCAGATCTGTCACTCCCCACCTGGTTTTTGCACGGCTCGCTCGCCCCTCCTCTATTCACTGACTAGGTTGTGCTCAACTGTCATGCTGACATCCGATTGTCAGGCAGACGCCCAACTGTCTGCAACATCAGTTTTCAAAAATGCCTGCGCTCGCGCTCTTGCGACATCTTGAGAAAAACAATAGGTTCTTCAGACGGGCCCCCGGCGCCGCATGCCGAAATGATTCGAACGCCCTTGCGCGCGGGGGGGCACGATCCGTGTCAAATAATACATTGCGGGCCCCTCTCGCGCGTCGGCCGCGCGCGCATGGCGAACTCCTTCCAAAATCTTCATTACCGACGCGAGGACTGTCATCGTCGTCGGCGTGATCAGAATCGGCGCCGTCATTGGCCTTGCCGTCGTCGTTGTCACCATTGTAACCAGCATCGCTACTATCATCGTGTCTCCCGTTGTCGATGTTGCCATGATACCGCGCCCGCCCACGTCGCCGACTCCGCGGCCGCGTCGGTCATGCCAAACTAGCTGGCCGCTGCGCGCGCGAGCATGCGCGGGCTAGCGCGGCCGCAGAGATGCACCAGCCAATACCAAGCACTCATCGCAATCGCCGCCGCATGCGTTTTGCAAGCCGAGTTGCGGGTGGGTGGGTGGTATGGTTGTGCCAGCAGTGGAGCTGAGAAATCACTGCGAGCAAGTCTGCTTTTTTTCTCCACAGGTTTCATCCTCCAGCCTGCCGGGCCTGGCGGGTCCATGCCCCGCCGCCCTCCCCCTGCAGGGCGCCGACGCTGACGACGCCGAGGTGGCCGAGACAGCCGAGCCAGAGGAGGACGAGGAGGACGGCCTGCGTCGCGGCGGCGCCTGGGCGTGCGGCGCCGTTTTTTTTGTTTTCTCTCTCTCTCTGTCTTTTTCTCGCTCTCCTTCTCTCTCTTAACGTCTCTCTGCTTATCTCTGTCTCTCTCTTCTTCTCATTTCGTCTCCCGTCATCCCAGTTCATCTCATGCCATCACATTCCGTTCTGGACCATCATACCTCGTCTGACATCACCTCATACAATACAACCCCATCTTGTGTGATCTGATATAATTCCCTATGATATCATCTCTTTTGATCGCATCTCGTACAATATCATGTGGTCTCTCGTCGTTTCATACGTCATGTAATCTCATTTTGTACCGTCACATCTAAATTTTGCCTCACCTTGTCGCCCCCGCCCCCGTTCTAGCTTGCCCTAGGAAGCCGCCCCGAGGATCCCGATGGTGATGCCGTGCACGATGCAACACAACACTTCGCACAAGGCAACGGTACAGCCGACCGCGCCACCGCGCCAGCGGCAAATGCACTGCGCTAGCTGCAAAGGAGGACGGGCGTGATCATCATCATCAGCATCAACGTCACCATCATCTTCACCATCATTCGAAAGCTGGGCGAGGGCTGCTAAAACCGTGGCTGCTAAAACGGCCCTCCCGGAAGGAAAAAACAACTTCCCGGAATGAGGCGCGGCACGCGAAACAGTCAACGGGCTTCTTCCCGGAAGGACGAAGACAACTTCCCGGAGGTCGATTTTCGCAGCCATGGTTTTAGCAGCCTTTGCCCGGCTTCCGAATTATCATCATCAGCCGCATCAACACCAACATTATCATCATTATCATCATCGTCATCACCATCATCATCATAACCACCATTATCATCACCATAAACGTCATCATCATCACCACCATCATCATCATCAGTACCATCATCATTCCCATCAACATCATCATCATCACCACCGCCATCATCATCATAATAATCAACAACGTCATCATCAATACCACCACCATCATCATCATCATCATCATCATCATCATCATCATCATCATCATCATCATCGACATCATTATCATCATCTCCACCATCGTCCTCACCATCACCATCACCATCACCATCACCACCAACATCAACATCACCACCCTCATCATCATCATCACCATCATCATCATTCCCATCACCATTAACATCATCAGTACCACTATCATCATCACCACCATCATCATCATCACCATTCTCATCAGCAGCATCATGATTATCATTACCACTATCATCAACATCATCACCACCACCACGATCATCATCATCATCATCATCATCATCATCATCATCATCATCATCATCATCATCCGCATCAACATCAACTTCATCATCATCACCACCATCATTGTCATCACCATCATCATCATCACCATCATCAACATCAACGTCATCATCATCACCACCACCATCATCAGTATCATCATCATTAACATCAACATCGATAAACCCGCCACGATCACCATCATCATCACCATCACAACCATCATCATCAGCATCATCGTTAGCATCATCATCACAATTTCCACCGTCATCATCATCATTAACATCAAGATCATCATCAACACCACTATCACCATCACCACGATCATCAGCATCACCATCAACATCATCAACATCAACATCAACATCATCATCGTCACCACCTGCATCACCATCACCATCACCATCACCATGACCATCACCATCACCATCACAATCACCACCACCATTATCGTCTTCAGCATGACCACCAGCATCACCATCATCATCACCCTCACCATCATCAGCATCAGCGTCCTGATCATCATCATCTTCATCATTATCATCATTATACGTAACGCCACTACCACCATCATCATCATGATCATCATCATCATCATTCTGATCATCATGAGTGTCGTCGTCATCACCACCATCATCATTACCACCAGCATCATCATCATCATCAACATCGACATCATCATCACCACCATCATCATAACCATACCACCACCACCATCATCACCATCATCACCATCATCATTAGCATGATCATCATCACCTCCAGCAGTATCAGCATCAGTATCACCATCATCACCATCATTGCCATCATTATCATGTTTATCACCACCACCACCATCAACGTTCTCATGATCATCATCATCAGTGTCGTAGTCATCATCACCACCATCATCATCATCATCATCAGCACCATCATCGTCGTCATCATCATGCTCAGCATCATGATCACAACCACCACCACCATCACGACCACCGTCGTCGTCATCGTAATCATCGTCATTATCGCCATCATCGTCATCATCGTCATCATCACCATCACCACCATCACCATCATAACCATCATTACCATCATTACCATCATTTTCATAGGCATCATGGCCGTCGTCATCGTGATCATGGTGATCATCGTGATCATTGTCATCATCGTCATTACTGACATCACCATCACCACCACTATTATCATCACCACCATCATCGCTATCATTACCATAATCATTGCCACCGCCATCATCATCACCATCATTATCATCATTATCGTCATCTTAATCATTAACACCACCAACAACATGATCATAATCATCATCGTTGCCATCTTCATCAGCATCGTCATCATCATCACCACCATTATCATCACTCACCTTCTCATCATCGTCATCAGCATCATCTCCATCATCATCATCATCGTCATCGTCATCGTCATCATCATCATCATCATCATCATCATCATCATCATCATCATCATCATCTTCATCATCTTCATCATCATCATTGTCAGCATCATCGTCATCGTTACCGTTATCGTCCTCGTCATAGTCATCGTCATCATCGTCATCACCATCATCACCATCATCATCATTATCGTCATCATCATCAGCAGCTCAGTTCCTTATCCTCGTGGCTCCTGGGTCCTCTGGCCGCCCGAGGGTCCAATCCTTCCCAAAGTCGCACTCCCAAGGTGGACTTCCCACATCGAAAGCGACGTGCAAGTGCTCCCCCGGCGAGGCCGTCGACCAGCGGAGGAGCCATAGCTCCCCCCAGAGCCCGGGCCAGGACTCGCCACCCCTTCTCGGACCCAGGCTGCGAGAAGGCAGACCGATCTCCGGATCCCCGAATCCCCCCAACGGGGAAGGACACGGCCTGTGAGAATCTTCGTCTCTAGAACCATAGGCTAGGGATGACCCAGAGAAGGTGAGCCCTTCGCGGGCGCCACGCCTCTGGACGAAGCCCCCGTCTTGGGGTCCCAGCGGCCCTTGCTGGGACAGAGGTCCGCTGGCTGGCCCGCCGCTCGCACCCGCGGGTCGCTGGTCCACACCCCTCCCTTCATCAGGCCGCTGCCGTGGCCGCCTCGCGGGCAGGCGCCACGCCCCCGCGAGGCGCCTGGGACCGCCGTGAGTGCCAAGGTCATTGAGGGTATCCTCCAGAGCCTTCGCCGCAGGGGCTGCGCCTGCTCTCGGGCTGCCGCCACACACCGCGGCCGCCCAGACCGCTGGCCTCCCCTCGACCGAGGACCACTCGTGGGCTGCGCTGGTGCCTGCCGTTGCCGCAACGGGCGGCGCGCGGACCAGGGTCGCTGCCGCCATGGCCGCCGCCGCTGCCCTCGCGGCCCGAGCAAACCACAGCCATGCCCCAGGCGCCGCGGGCGCCAAGACCGCGGGTCCCCCCGCAGGCGCGGACCAGCTCAGTGACAAGGGCGACCACGTGGACTCAGCTAGCCAGGACAAGGACCACCTCTTCCGTCGAGAGCAGAGCTGCGCTGGACGCCAAGGAGCGCCGCGTGTGGCGCCCCGCGCGGCTGCAAGTGCGCCCGCGCGCGTCTCTGGGAGGCGGTGGTGGCGGGACCGTCGTGCTGTCATCGGGGTCGTCGAGCGGGATGGGGGGCTTCGGCCGTCGTGCTGCTTGCCCCCTCGCGCTCGTCGTTTCCCCCTCTGCCCTCGGCGTGCTCGCACGCCGCTCTAGTGGCGGAGAACCTGTCCTGCGGGGTGTCCCCGACTTCCGTGCTCTGTGGGTTTCAGCGTGCCCGCCAAGAGCATGAGCCAACGCGCCCAACCTTGTGGACGACGGTCAACGGAGTTGAAGCATGTTGCCAAATAGTTTTCAGATGTCTGAAACACGTTTTCAACATGTCAGAAACATGTAAAAACATGTGTTAAGTATTCATAGAACATGTTTCAGACATTTTATGCACATTTTCAATTCAGTGATCGGATTGTTAGGGTGTCCACTGTCATGGCATCCACAAGCCCAACCCTGGCATGCACGCAGTCGGGCGGACGCCGACCTTGGGAGTCCTAAGGTGGGCTTGCGGAGGAGTGCGGGCGCGCCCGCCGAAGGCGCAGTTCCTCAAGCCTTCTCCCTCTGTCGTGCTCGAGGCCACCACTGGAGTCCCCCCTTGCTGCCCTGGTCCATGGCTTGTGCCCCCTCTTCCCATATTGTTCGTCGCTAGGAGGGAAGAGGTTCCTGAGGGTCACGAGCCCTGGAGGTTTTTTGGCCGTGTCCGGGCTCTCGGGGCCCTACAGGGGCCCCGTGACTGGTCGAAGGCGACCCAAGGTGAACAGGTGGTCTCGGGGGAAGGCCCTGGGATCTAGGACACGTTTCCCTCAGGACCCGCTTCCTTCATGCCAAGGTCCTCACCTCCGTCCTCTCTCGGTGCCCGCATGGCGCTGATGCTTTTGCGTGGGGGCCCGCCTCAGGATGACGACCTAGAGGAGGACGAGGAGGAGCTCGACGCCGAGGACGAGGCTGCGGCCCGAATGGGGGACCTGCTGCTCGTGCACATAGACCTCTGGGACACCTGCTGAGCTTCGCCTTCCGGGGGTCCGTAGTGGGTGGGCTGGCTGGGGTTAGCGAATCAGCAGAATACAGCTGATCCTCATCATGATCCTGATCCGGATGATCCGGATGTTACTGATCCTGATCCCCATCGGTACCCTAGCTGGTACCCTGAATGGTACCCTGAACGGTACCCGAACTGGTACCCTAGCTGCTACCCTGGCTGGCACTGACATCTTACCTGGTACGCTAGTGGGTACTCCTAGCTGGTACCCTAGCTAGTACCCTGGCTAGCTGGTATCCTGGCTGTTACACTAGCCTGTACCCTGGCTGGTACCCCAGCCGTTACCCTAGTGAGTACTCTAGTTCGTGCTCTGGCTGGTACCCTAGCTGGAACCCTAGGTGGTACCCTCGCTGGTGCCCTAGCTGGTACCCTAGCTGGTACCCTGGCTGGTGCTAGGTCTGGTACTCTAGCATGAGGGTGCGGAGGAGGAGGAGGAGGTGGAGGAGGAGGAGGAGGAGGAGGATTGTGAAACGAGGAGGAGGAGAAGGAAGAGGAGGAGGAGGAGGAGGAGGAGAGGAGGAGGAGGAGGAGGAGGAGGAGGAGGAGGAGAAGGGGGAGGAGGATGAGGAGGAGGAGAAGGAACACGAGGAGGAGGAGAACGAGGTGGAGGAGGAGGAGGATGAACAGCAGGAGGAGGAGGGGGAGGAGGAGGAGGAGTCTGATGAGGAGTGCGACAGAGGGTTGACTAGCAAAGGGCAGCTATGCGAATCAGCTGCATGCCATGCAGCTGATCCTGATCCTGCAGGGCGATTAATGGGGAGGGCCCCATGGCCTGCTCTGGGCGAGTCTTCCCCTGATCTCATGAGCTGCCCCCCCCCGATTTCGCCGAGAAGCAAGTCAAGACCGTCGTGGAATCAAGCAAGCAGTTCGTAATCAAGCAATCATCAGCTGCATTCAGCTGATTGGACTCGCGCCTCGTGGCGCCGAAGATCCTGCTGATCCTGATGCCAAATCCTGATCCTCATCGATTCCCTGGCTAGTATCATAGCTGGTACCCCAGCTGGTACCCTAGCTGATACTCTAGCTGGTTGGTACTGGTATCCTAGGTGGTACCCTAGCTGGTATTGTATTGCCTCCCGCATGGAGTATTGTATTGTATTGTATTGCCTCGCGCTGGGAGTATTGCATGCAGTGGGTACTCTAGCGCAGGCGGGAGCAGTACCATCCAAGCCAATTCAATCCACAACATCCAATCAAATCCAATACAATACGATACAATACATTACAGTACAATACAATCCAATCCAGTCCAATCCAATACGGTGCAAGTCAATACACTACATACAATACAAGGCATACATACAATACAATACAATACACTACACAGCACTACACTACGACACAATACACTACACTACAGGACAACAAAATGCACTCCAATACAACACAATCCACTACACTACACTACAGTACATAACACTACATTGCACTGCACTTCACTACACTACACTACAACACAACATTATACGATACAAAATAATACAATACAATGCAACACAACACACCACACCACAATCCAATTCAATTCAAGTCAATTCAATCCCAACAATGCAACACAATCCAGCACAACACACTGTAACACAGTACAGTACAACACAACACAGCACACCACAATCCAATATGCTATACCGCAATACACCATAATACAATCCAAATCAACACAATACAAACAAAACATAGGACACAACATAATACAGTACGTTATAATACGGTACGATCTGATACAATACAATCCAATCCTTCCTGATCGGGGTAATGCAATTGAAGGCAATACTCCTTGCGAAAGTTAACGACATACAATACAGTACAATGCACTACAATATAATACGAAACAATATTATACAATTCAATCCACTACAGTACAACACAATCCAATCCAACACAAAACAATACAGTACAAGACACTGCAATACAATCCAATACAAGACAAGACAAGACAAAACACTACCATACAATACAATACAACACGATACAATACAACACACTACAATACGATACAATGCAATTCAATACCTTTCAACACAATGCAATACAACACACTACACTACAACACAATGCATGCCTCCCTGTGGGAGGCACTACTCCCTGCTGGAGTACCAGGATCAGCTAGGGTACCCCGGCCTGCACCCCAGCTGGTACTCGAACATCAGCTGCATACAGCCGATTTTCTGGCGCCTCCCGGCGCTGGAGGCGCCCTTCTTGGGCGACGAGAGGGGGGATTAGTAACGGCGGGCGGGGTAGCGAATCAGCTGCAGGCATCTGATCCCGAGCTTGATCGTTCACCTGCTCCTGATGAACCTGAACCTGGTCTTCATCGATACCCCAGCTGGCACCCTAGCTCGTACCCTGGCAGGTTCCCTAGCTGCTACCCTGGCTGTTACCTTTCCTGGTACTCTGGCTGGTACCCTGGCTGGCACCCGAGCTGGTACTCTAATAGATTTCCTAGTACGCACCCGAGCTGTTCACCTCGTTGGTACTGGTACCCTAGCTGGCACCCTAGCTGGTTCCCTAGCTGGTACCCCTGATACCCCAGCTGGTATTTTAATTGTTACCCCAGCTGGTACCCTAGCTGGTTCCGTAGTCGGTACACTAGCTAGTAGTCTAGCTGGTAACCCTTTTGGTACCTTGCTGGTACCCTACTTGGTACTCTATCGGGTCCTCTATCTCGTACCCTAGCTGGTACTCTAGCTGGTACCCTAGCTAGTTCCCTGTATGATACCGTAGCTGATACTCTAGCTGGTACCCTAGGTGGTACTCTAGCTGGTACTCTAGCTGGTGCCCTTGCTGGAGCTCTAGCTGGTACTCTAGCTGGTGCCCTTGCTGGGAACCTGTCTGGTACTCGTACCCTGGGTGGGACCCTGGCTGATTCTTTAGCTGGTACTCTAGGTGGTATCCTTGCTGATATCTTCGCTGGTGCCCTAGCTTGGTACCCTGGCTGGTATTGCAGCTGGTACCTTAGCTGGTATTGTATCTATTACCATAGCTAGCGCCCTAGCTGGTACCCTGGCTGGTGCCCTAGGTGGTGTCGAAGATGCCTATGGCGAATCACCGCCGCCCCCTGCCTTTTGGAATCGCCCATGTGGCCGGGCGTTGTGGCAAGAACTCCGTCAATCTATCGGACCATGTGCTCCCCCAGCCGTTGTAGAACCCTTCGGGGAACACTTGAAAGAGGATGGCGGGGAATATCAGGAGGAGCAGGAGGAGGAGGAGGAGGAGGAGGAGGAGGAGGAGGAGGAGGAGGAGGAGGAGGAGGAGGAGAAGGAGGGGGCATCTTGGGAGCCTCTGGGGGCACTCTTGGGGCGTCCTGGGAGCTTCCTGGGAGCCTCTTGGAGGCATCTTGGGGCCTCCTTGGCCTCTTGGGGGCCTTTGGGTGCTTTTCGGTGGCCTCTTTGGCAGTCTTACGGCATTCCTGGCCCGTCTGACGCAGTTTGAAGCCGTTTTCGGGGCCTCTCTGGGCCGACTTGGGGTGCTCCAGGGCCGTCTTGGAGGCCATCTGGGGTGTCTTGGAGGCATCTTGGGCAGTCTCGCGGCGCTCTTGGGGCCGTTTTGGGGGCCTCTTGGGCCGTTCTGGAGCCATCTTGGAGGCCTCTTGGGCAATCTTGGGGCGATCTTTGAGGGCTCTTGGGCCGTCTCGGGCCGTCGGAAGGCCGAAAAGAAGCACACGCCAACATCCTTCAAGCACCTGCGGAAAATCGATGATTGTGGCCTCTTCGGGCCTTCCTGGAGGTCCTCTTGGAGGCCTCTGGGGTCGTCTTGGAGACCTCTTGGGGGCCTCTTGGGCCGTCTTGGGCCACCTTGGAGCCATCTTGGGGGCCTCTCTGGGCCGACTTGGGGCCCTCTTGGGGTGCTGCAGGGCCGTCTTGGAGGCCATCTTGGGCGTCTTGGAGGCCTCTTGGTCCGTCTTGCGGCGCTCTTGGGGCCGTTTTGGGGGCCTTCTGGGCCGTTCTGGGGCCATCTTGGAGGCCTCTTGGGCAATCTTGGGGCGATCTTTGAGGGCTCTTGGGCCGTCTCGGGCCGTCGGAAGGCCGAAAAGAAGCAAACGCCAACATCCTTCAAAACCTATGGACAATCAATGGTTTTGGCCTCTTCGGGCCTTCCTGAAGGTCCTCTTGGGGGCCTCTTGGCCGTCTTGGGCCATCTTGGAGCCATCTGGGGCCGTCTTGGTGGGCTCCTGGCCCCTCTGACGCCGTCGGAAGCCGTCTCGGGGGCTCCTCTGGACCGACTTGGGGCCCGCTTGGGATGCTCCAGGGCCGTCTTGGAGGCCATCTTGGGCGTCTTGGAGCCCTCTTGGGCCGTCTTGGGGCTTCTTGGGGCCGTTTCGGATGCCTCTTGGGCCATTTTGGGACTATCTTGGAGGCCTCTTGGGCAATCTTGGGGCGATCTTTGGGGGCTCTTGGGCCGTCAGAGAAGACGTACATGTCAAACTCATTTAAAACACCTCGGGCAAATCAATGATTTTGGCCTCTGAGGGCCTTCCCGGAGGCCCTCTTGGAGGCCATTTGGGCCGTCTTGGAGGCCTCTTGGGGGCCGTCTTGGGCCATCTTGGAGCCACCCTGGGCTGTCCTGGTTGCCTCTTTGGCGGACTTGGAGGCATCTCGGACCCTCTTGGGCCGTCTTGGAGGCCCTTCTGGACCCAAAGATCGTCCCAAGGCGGCCCCAAAGGGGCCAAAAACGGTCTAAGGGGCCCCAGGCGGGCCCAAGGCGGCCCAAGAGGCTCCAAAGATCGTCCCAGGACGGCCCAGAACCACCCCCCTGGTGGCCGAAAACAGTCCCAGAGGGCCCCCAGACGGCCCAAGAGGGCCGGCCCAAGAGGGCCCCAAAACGGCCCTAAGAGAACCCCCAGAGGCTCCCAAGAGGGCCCGAAGAGGCGGTGTGGGGACTGGGCTGTAAACAGCGAGTGGTGACCTAACAAGCTCTGAACACCAAGGCACCCCAGAGCGCGGTGGCGTGAAAAGCTCTTAACAGCAAGGCAACCAAGAGCGAGCGGCAACGTAGAAGTCTGCGAACACCAGGGCTTTCAACAGAGAGCGATGATGCAACAATTTCTTAACGCGAAGGCTCCCAAGAGCGAAAGGTGTCATGCGCCATCTCGGGCAAGTTCCTGCAGCGCTCTTTCCGTTCCCGTGTCGGCACAGGTGGCGGAAAGAGCTAGGTATGAGCGAAATAGTTTCAGTCGGGGCGAAGCTCTCTAGGGAGGGGTCCAGGGGAGGGGCGAGGCGCGCGGTGATGGTTGTAGTGGCCGCCCCGGTGCCGCTTCCCTGGTATTTTTTCGAGGGGAGCGGCTCCCGGGCGGCTCCCATGGCTTGTTCCCTTGTATTTGTTTTGAGTGAAATGGCAAGAGGGCCCCACAACGACCCAAGAGGGCCCCCTCTTGGAGCCGTCTGGGCGCCTCCTGGGGCCCTCTTGGGGCGCTCTTGGGAGCCTTGAATACATCGATGCACGCTCGGGTAACTTCAATTGGGGCCCCGTCGGGAGCCACAACAATCGCCTCTTGGGGCGCTTCGGGGCCGTCTTGGAGGCCTCTTGGACCCCTCTTGGAGCCCTCTTGGGCCATCTTGGAGTCATCCTGAAGCCTCGGAAGGCCATCGGAAGCGAAAAGGCGAGAAAGCGAAAACATGGTTTCCATAGGTTTTGGACGGATTTTGGCCCCTTGGCGGCCTCCTGGGGAAGCTCCGTGGCCACCTGGAGCCGTCTTGGAGCGTTCTTGGGGTCTCTTGGAGCACCTTTGGAGCAAGCTTGAGGCATTTTGGGCTATCTTGAGCCATCTTGGAGGTCATCTTGGCCTCTCTGAGCCGTCTTTGGCGCTCTTGGAGCCATCTTTGACCGTCTTGGATGCTCCAGCCCCTCGCGACCCCTCCCGTCCAAGTCCAGGGGAGGGGGTAAGGGGGAGGGGTACACCCCTCTCCGAAGGGTAAGAACGGGGTTGGAAGATGAAGCGCTCTAGACCACCTACGCCCAAAGGGCTGGTGGGATTTTGAAGGAGCTGGCAGAGAAATAGCATAGCTTAAGATGGTGGGGAGACATCAGAGAGTGAGAGAGAGAGAGGGAGAATGGCTGAGAGCAGAGAAAGGATGGAAGCATGCCTCTGGAGCACAGAGGGACTCCACAATCCCCCAGCCTCGAGGAGGAAGGGAGGGAAGGGAGGCAAGGGAGGGAAGGGAGGGACGGGAAGGAGGGAATGGGGAGAGGGAGGAAGGGAGGGAAGGGAGGAAGGGAAGGGGGAGGACGGAAGGGAGAGGGAGGGACTCCACAATCCCCCAGCCTCGAGGAGGCAGGGAGGCAAGGGAGGGAAGGGAGGGAAGGGAGGGACGGGAACGAGGGAATGGGGGAGAGGGAGGAGATGGCTGCCCTGGCTGCGCGGCGCCGCCGAGCCCGCGGCCGCAGGCCGACGAGGGCCCCGGCGTGGTCACGGGCTCGTCGGATGACTCGGAGGACGGGGCGCCGCGAGCCGCCTCGTCGGCGTCGTCGTCGTCGTTGGCGTCGGCGTCGTCGTCGGCGTCGGCGTCGGCGTCGGCGTCGGCGTCGGCGTCGGCGTCGGCGTCGGCGTCGGCGTCGTCGTCGTCGTCGTCGTTGTCTACGTCGTCCCGTCGCGGAAGAAGTGGGGAGGAGGAGCGCTGAGGAGTAGCGGTGACGAGGAGGAGGCGTAGGAGGAAGACTTCGCAGACCCTCCCCTCCAGGACCCCCAGAGCATCCAAAGACGCATAAGCATCCCTAAACGCCTCGTCCTCCTCCTCGAGCCTCGATCCTTCTCGATGCTCTTCCTCGATCCTTCTCCAATTATCTCCTGCCTGGCCGGCACCACGACGTCAAACGGACACCCTGGTCCTCGACCCTCCTCCTCGAGCCCCCTTCTCCACTTTCCTCCCCAGCCCTGATCCTCGACCCTTCTCCTCAACGCCCCTCCTCGACCCTCTTCCTCACCCCCCCTTTGCCTCCTCTTCAACACTTCTCCTCAACTCTTCTAATCGATACCCTCCACAACCCCTTTCCTCAACTTTGCCCCTCAACCCTGCCCCTCTGCCCTCCCCCTCGAGCATTTCCCGCAGCCCTCCCTCTTAACCCTCCCCCTTTACCCCCCTCCTCGACCCCCCTCCTCGACCTCCCTCCTCGACCCTCCTCCTAGACCGTCAGCCCTCCCCTCGAATCTCCTCCTCGATTTTCCTCTTTAACGCTCATCCACCGACCCCTTATTCGTCAGCCCTATTCCTCAACCCTTCTCCGTACCCCTTCTCCTCAAGCCTGCCCCTCCCCCCCCCTCTCACACCTTCTCCTTAACGTTCCTCCTCCGCCCTGCTCCTCGACCGTCCTCCTCAACCTTTCCCCATCAACCCTCCTCATCGACCCTCCGGACCCCTCCTCCTACCGTATGCGGTAGCTGGCCCAGAACCTGTTCAAGTAGTCTGTGGATGCTGGGCAGCAGGCTCGTGAGACGCACGACTCACATCGGGCACGCTTCGTATCTAAGAAGAGGAAGAGCAACGACGGCGCGGCGTCGACGGGCGGAGGCAGCTCTTGCAGTGGAGCTCAACCTGAAGGCGTACCTGAGCGTGCGAATCGGAGCCTGGTGGTGAAGCCGCTTCTGCTGGCGCTGCGTCGGGAGGTGGGGCCTCCCAGCCTTCTGCGTTCCCTGAAGGGATCATTCGAGCGAAGGCAGATGCGCTGTTGCATGAATCTGTGCCCCCCGTTACGTCTGCGTGATGGGGGGGGCTGCTGCTTTTTGCAGTGCGAGGCCCAGACTCGAAGTCATCCTGGGAACTTTGCAAAGATTTGGCCAGGCAAATCGCTGTAATAGGCTCCATGACCCAGGCGTCTCGGATCAAACTCTTAAGGTCGAGTGCACCCCCAGGGTCCCAGAGTGCGATTCCGATCTCTCGTGATGTTTTTTCCTGGCGCATCTCTGCAGTTGCCTTCCGCTAATTTCCCAGCTTACCAGATTGTGAAGACCAGGGAGCTGGAGAGCGACCTGGATGACGAGGAGGAGGAGGAGGAGAAGGACGAGGGTGAGGAGGAGGAGGATTAAGAGGAGGACGAGAGAGGAGAGAGGAGAGAGTAGAGGAATCTGCGAGAAGAGGAGGATGATGATGAGGAGGGGGAGGGGACGGATTATGATGATGGTGATGATGATGCTGATGATGATAATGCTGATGATGATGATGATGCGGATGATACTGATGATGATGATGCTGATGATGATGATGATGATGACGATGATTATGATGGCGATGATGATGCTGTCGCTGAGGATGATGACGATTATGCTGCTGATGATGCTGATGATGCTGATGGTGATGACGGTGATGATGACGATGCTGCTGATGATGATGACGATGCTGCTGCTGATGATAATGCAGATGAGGATGATGATGAAGATGCTCATGAGGATGATGCTGATGCTGATGCTGATGCTGATGCTGATGCTGCTGATGATGATGCTGCTGAGGAGGATGATGATGATGTTGATGATGATTCTGATGATGCTGATGCTAATGCTGCTAATGATGATACAGATGGTGAGGCTGAGGATGATGACGATGATGATGACGATGCTGCTGCTGCTGATGAGGATGCTGCTGCTGATAATGATGATGCTGATGCTAATGATGAGGATGATCATGATGATGATGATGGTGATGCTACTGATGATGATGCTGATGACGCTGATGCTGACGATGATAACGATGATGCTGATGATGCTGTTTATTCTGATGATGCTGACGATGATGATGCTGATGCCGATGCTGCTGGTGCTGCTGCTGATGATGATGATGATGCTGATGCTGACGATGACGATGATGCTTATGGTGCTGGTGATGAAATTGATGATATTGATGATGCTGATGATGGTGATTATGCTATTGCTGATGATGATTCTGCTGATGCTGCTGATGCTGATGATGATTCTGCTGATGAGGATGATGATGCTGATGATGATGATGCTGATGATGAGGTGGACGATGACGACGATGATGATGATGCTGACGATGCTGTTGATGATGACACTGATGCTGCTGCTGATGATGATGCTGATGATGATGATGATGGTGGTGGTGGTGGTGGTAGTGATGATGATGATGTTGCTGATGCTGACGACGACGATGGTGATACTGATGATGATGATGATGCTGATGATGCTGATGATGATGATGGTGACGATGATGATGCTGATGATGATCATGATGCTGATGATGATGTTGGTTATGCTGATGATGATGATGATGATGATGGTTGTGGTGGTAGTGGTGGTGAGGATGATGATGCTGACTATGATGGCGATGCTGTTCATGATGATGCTGGTGCCGATGATGCTGATGATGATTATGATGCTGCTGCTGATGATAATGATGATGCTGCTGATGATGACGATGATGATGGAACTGAGGATGTTGATGATGATGCTGATGATGATAATGCGGATGATGATGCTGATGCTGCTGCTGATGATGATGATGCTGATGCTGATTATGATGATGATGGTGATGATGCTGACGATGCTGATGTTGATGATGACGACGACGACGATGATGCTGCTGAGGAGGATGAGGAGGATGAGGAGGAAAACGAGGGGAAGGTGGAGGAGGACGAGAATGATGAGGAAGAGGAGGAGGAGGCGGAGGAGGAGGAGGAGGAGCAGGAGGAGGACGAGGAGGAGGAGGAGGAGGAGGACGAGGATGGGGAGGAGGAGGAGGAGGGGGAGGTGGAGGAGGAGGAGGAGGAGGAGGAGGAGGAGGAGGAGGAGGAGGAGGAGGAGGAGGAGGAGGAGTAGGCGGAGGAGGAGGAGGAGGAGGAAGAGGAGGAGGAGGAGGAGGAGGAGGAGGAGGAGGATGAGGAGGAGAGAGGAGAGAGGAGAGAGGACAGAAGCACGAGGCCATCCGATCTCTCCCTACAATCCCTTTTTATTGCTCGGATTGTTTCTATCTGCGGACGCGGGTCATAGGCGACCTATAACTTCAAGGACAACCCCATCGGGTTGTGCGCAATCAAAAATGGGGAGTTGCGTACACATGAGGAGGAGGAAGAGGAGGAGGATGATGAGGAGGAGGAATAATATCAGGAGGAGGAAGAGGAGGCGGTGGCAGGTGAGGATGAGGATGACCAGGGGGAAAATGAAGAGGATGGGAAGGATAAACATGAGGCAAGGACGAACAGCAGCAGCAGGAACTGTAGTGGAAGGAACGGGAGGATCACGCGGACCAGGGGAAGGTGGAGGAGGGGAAAGGAACGCGGCGAACACGTCGAGGAAGGACTCGGATCCAGAAACGTGGCACACGCTGTGGCGAGATCGCCGTTCTGAACGACGGGAGTCAAGGGCCGATCCGAACATGATACCTACGCAGCAGCGGGAACGCCATTTTGAAACACCGAAGACAATCGGATTGCACAACAACCATCGGAACACCAACTTCTGTCCAATTTTCAATTCTGTGCACATCGGATGCCACACAACCATGCCAACATAACGGCAGTACGCGGAGAGTGAAAAACATCTATCGGACAGGGTTAAGGAAGAGGTGAGAGTCGTATTCATAATGTGCTGTTGTAGAAAGGAGAGACCAGCAGCGGAGAGGAGGAGGCGGAGGAGGAGGAGGAAGAGGAGGCGGAGGAAAAGGAGAAGGCCAGTGTCTGGGGGGATGACTAACGCATTCAACTGCAGGACGGCCTGTTGGCGCCGCCGTGGTCTTCGTCGGCATCGTCGTCCGATTCTTGGGCCTTCTTCCTCTCAAGAAATCTTCCTCGGCGGCAGGACACTGTGTGTGTGTGTTGAGTGCCTGGCCGCATCCCGCGTCGTGTCTCTGGACCGCCCTCCTGCACGATGCCCTCCTCTCCCGATCCTTGGCCTGCAGGCGCCCTCGGCGGCGCGGTCTGCGGGCCGAAGGCGGAGGAGGAGGAGGAGGAGGAGGAGGAGGAGGAGGAGGAGGAGGAGGAGGAGGAGGAGGAGGAGGAGGAGGAGTAGAAGAGGAGAGGAGAAGGAGGAGGATGAGGAGATGTAGAGAGGGAGAGAGGAGAGGAGGAGAGAGCAGAGAGGGGAGAGGAGAGGAGGAGAGGAGAGAGGAGGAGGAGGAGGAGGGAGAAAGGCGAGAGGAGAGAGGACGGAGGCAAGCTAGGTGCGCAAGCGTCATATCTGCCTTCTACCCCTCCCTCCTATCCCTTACCATGACGTAGATCTCCTCCCTATTCGCACAGTTGGATGTCGAACAGGGCAATGATCCCGGGCGAGTGCGCGATGCATGGTATAGCACGGTATAGCATGGCATAGAAGAGCACGGCCACAGCCGACGTCGTCGCGTCGAGAACGCGACTCATTTCGACAACAAGGCCAGAGGGAAACCAGAAATCACACAGGACGGGAAATGCAATCGGACGGTTTGGACAACGGGAAGTGTAATAAGATCAACGCTGCAGCGGGAGCACGATTTCGAAGGACCGAAACCGTGGGAGCGAAACCAGCGCTGCAGTGGGAGCACGATCTGGGAGGACTGGAATCGCAGCACCGAAGCCAACGCTGCCGCAGGAGCACGATGTGGAAGAACCGAACGCTGCAGCGGGAGCGCCATTCTGAAAGAATTTGAGACGTTCGGACTGGAAGAACACACGAATCCTTGGCGGCATCCTGTGTGTAAACGATACGCGGAGGAGGCCAGCACGCCTCACTGGCGTCTTCGGGGGGGAGGAGAGCAGTATTCATTGTGTGTCATTTGTAATAGGCAAGCTAGGTAAGCTCGCGCCATCCCCTCCCATTGCGCGGATTTTTCGGTATCCGCGGACGCGTGTCATAGCCGACCTGGAACTCCAACAGAAAGACCCCATCGTGTTATGCGTAATCGGAAATGGGAAACAGCGTACATAGGAGGAGGAGAAAGTGGTGGTGGGTGGGTAGGAGGATGAGCAGGAAGACAAGGAGGAACATGATGAAGGAGGAGGACGAGGACGAACAGCAGCAGCCGGAACTAGAGTGAAAGGATCGGGAGGAGCAGGAGGACAAGGGGAAAGCGGAGGAAGGGACATGATGGGGACGACAGACATGAAAAGGGACTCGGATCCAGAAAAGTGGCCTGCGCTGGCTCGAGAGCGCCATTCTGAACGACGGGATCACAGCGGCGATTCGACAGTGATACCTACGCTGCAGCAGGAAAACTAGTTTGAACCACCTGAAACAATCGGGTTGTAATACACACCAGCTAACAAATCAACTCTTAAATCTGGTGTATACTAGGACAGTGCGCGGAGAGCTGGAGATTTTCAGGACAGAATCAGGGGGGAGAGAGGGGAGTAGTATTCATGATGTGTAATTGTAAAGAGGCGCGCCAGCTGCGCCGCCACGTTTGACATCCTGTCCCTCCCTCCCAGCCCTTCCGCTGCCCTGAATGTTCCTCTATCCGCGGACGCGTGTCCTAGCCGACCTGGAGCTCCAACGGAAAGACCCCCATCGTGATCCTTGGCCTTCTCGCCTCTCTGCTGGTGCCCTGCGAGGACGACGCGCCGCGGAACCGTATCGGGAACGTGCCGTTGGAGTGGTGCGAGCCGCCCGCCCGGCGCTGGGCGGGCCGCCGCCGCGGCTGCCGCTGGCTTGGGGCGGAGGTGGCGGTCCCAGGGCCGCGCGCGATCCGACCCGGTGCGATTCGATTCCCGGGCTGGGCCCGCGATTCCGATCCGATTCTCAGATGAGGACAGGGCGCCGATAGAGCGCTATCCTTGCCGCGCTTTCGCCTCTTCGCGCCTCCTGGGAGACCCTCGCTGGTACGAGAAGCCTGCCCTGGGGAAGAAGTCGAGAGGTCGGGGGCAACGATAGGGGGGGCAGGCACAGGGTGGGATGCATCGACCCCCAATCGCCCATTGATCGCCGATAGGGGCCCAATAGCTCAAATCCGCCCAGGAGGGTGCAGATGCGATATCGGGGCCCTATCGCTGATCTGTCGACGATGTATCGCCGATTCCAGGCCGATGCATCCCCCCCCTGTACGAGTCCCCCCCCCCGATGGCTGCCCCGCACGAGAGGTTCGGGGGGCCCGCGCATGGAGCAAATGCAGGGTTTTTGGGTTGCTCAGGCTTCAGGAAGCCTGTGCCGGGCCCCGGGGCCGTCGACGAGAACGGCTCGGGGTTCAAGGCCCTCCCAGGGAAAGAGCTCCAGCGGCTGCTCCTGGGCCCAGGATCGGCCTGGCCGGAATCGGTGCAAGTGTACATCGAGTTTTGCTGTCCTCCTGTCTCATGCCCTCCTGACGCGGGGAGCGCGCCAGAATCAGAAGGGAATGCTAGACACCGACACGCCTAAACTTTGATTTCCATGAAAGTGTAGGAAAAATTGGAAATGGAGGGGAAGAGGATAATCCAGGTACTAAGGGACAGTCTATATATACACATATGTACATCGTGATGTATGTATGTATACATACATATAAGTACACATCTATATATATATATATATATATATATATATATATATATTGATATATATATATATATATATCTATACACACAGACATTTGTATAAACGACTGAAGTTTTGGGCGGTTCCCCACCCGAGGGGTCCCTGGCCCCCGCTGATAGCCCTTCTTGAGCCCCTCGCTCCGTCTTGGCAGTCAGCGGTGATTAAGACCCTGTGTGGCGGGTGGCTCACCTCCGCTCGCCTCCACACCCTAGGTGATACTTTTCGGCGCTACGTGAGGTGCTCGTCGCTGTGGTCCCTGGCGTTCGGAGCAGATCCGCCATCTGACTTGGCCGCAAGGCTCGGTCTCAACGGAGCTCCCAATCATGTGCAAGTTGAGGCCATTGTCATGGCTTTTCACTGTTGCAATGTACGTCGTATGTCTGGCCCTTGCCCCCAAGAGGTAGGATTGCCAGCATATCATTACCAAATTCGCCGAGCAGCTAAGGCTCTCGCCGACCCCAACCGTGCGCCGTAGGCCTTCCAAGGACCCTCTGGGGCCCCTTGGTAGGAGCGATATATAGATATACATTCACACTTGTATTTGTAGGTGTATATGTACATGTAGATGTACATGTATAGATCTTTGTGATTGTATATGTGTATGAATAGGTATACTTATGTCTATGATTATGTATATATATATATAGATGAGCATGCGTATGCATCTGTACATGTATATGTGCACGTTTCTGAATCTACATCTGCATATGTACATGCAACGGTTTATGCATATGCATGCGCATCTACACATGTTTTATGTATATGTATAGTTATACGTACATGTATACGCATGTGTATGTGCACGTGTACATGTATGCATATGTGTCGGCATGCATGTGCATGTATGCATGCATACACATATATGTATAGATCGGTATATGTGTTTGGATGTGTAGGTGTATGCGAACATGTATATGTACATGCATGTACACACACTTTTGTGTACATGCATATGGCTACGCACATATGCATGTAGCTGTACATGTACATGTGTACATATGTATGTGTGCACGTATGTATGCATGCATTTCTGTATGTATGTTTGTATGCATGTATGTATGCATGTATGTATGCATGTATGTATGTAGGTCTGCATGTATGCACGTATGTATGTAGGCAGGCATGTAATGTCATGTACGTATGTACGCATGCATGCATGTATGTAGGAATGCATGCATGCATGCATGAATGTATGTATGCATGCATGTATGTATGTATGTCTGTCTGTCTGTATATATGTATGTGGGTATGTGTGCTTGCATGTGTGCATTTGTGTATGTGTGCATGTACATATGTATGTATGTGTGTATGTATATGTATATGTATATATATATATATGTATATGTATGTATGTATGAATGTGTGTATGTATGTATGTATGCATGCATGCATGTATGTATGTATGTATGTACGTATGCATGCATGCATTCATGCAGGTATTTGTGTATGTGTGTATGTATGTATGTATATATGTATGCATGCATATAGGTATGTATGTATGTATGTGTGTATGTATTTATGTATGTATGTATGTATGTATGTATGTATGTACGTATGTATGTATGTATGTATGTATGTATGTATGTATGTATGTATGCGTGTGTGTATGTATGTATGTATGTATGTATGTATGTATGTATGTATGTATGTATGTATGTATGTATGTATAAATGTATGTATTTATGCATTTATATATTTATGCATGCATGCATGTATGCATGCATGCATGTATGTATATATGTATGTATGCATGCATGTATGTATGTATGTATGTATGTATGTATGTATGTATGTATGTATGTATGTATGCAGGTGTGTATGTACATGTACACGTACATACATACAGACGCATACTCCTGTGCCTTGTGCCGATTTGTTTGTGTCGCCTTCCGGCCTCTTACAGAAGACCATCGCCTCCCTCCGAACGGGCGCTCGTGAGGGGGGGGCGTCGGCCGAGGGCCGCGCCGTGGCCCGAGGCCGGGCTCTCTCTCGCGCGCGCGCGTGGGGGAGCGGCTAGAGCAAAGCGGAGGTCTCTGCTGGAAGGGGCGTGGCGGGCACCAGGTCCTCCTCCCTCCTCCTCCTGTCCTCTCGTCCTCCCCCTCTCTCCTCCCTCTCCTGTCCTCCCTCTCCCCTCTCTCTCCTGTCCTCCCTCCCTCTCCTCCTCCCTCCCTCCTTCCTCCCTCCTCCCTCCTCCTCCTTCTCCTCCTCCTCCTCCTCCTCTCCTCCTCCCTCTCTCCTCCTCCTCCTCTCCTCCTCCTCCTCCTCCTCCTCCTCCTTCTCTTCCTCCTCCTCCCCCCTCCCTTCTCCCCCCTCCCTCCTCGCTCCTCCCTCTTCCGACGGCGCTGCGGGGCTTGACGTTTCGTCCTGTTGAGTCCCAACCTGAGAAAGGAGGTCTCAACCCTGGAAACCTGAGGCTCCGTCAACCCTTGAGAGGGTATTCCCCAACCCTGGGAAGGCTGTTTCTAGCCCTGGGAACGGAAAGGCCAAACACTGGAAACGGAAAGGTCGAGCAGTGGACACGGAATCGGAAAATATGTGCTGGGGTAGTTGCATGGCAAGCGTGTTGGGTGGGATATTCGGGTTTGAAACGCGCCGCCGAATGTTCCCAAGGCAAGCGCCCGTGAAACGCGCGCGCGCTCTCTCCCTCTCTCTCGTATATATATATATATAATCATATATACATAATTATATATAATTATATATATATATATGATTGTATGTAAATTCCTCTTCCTATATTTTTATAAGCCTGGGGAGGGGGGGGGGAAACCGTCCCCCCCCCCCTAAAACTGGATCCCCGGGATCTGGGGTTCTCGGGCTCCCTTGGACGTCCTTGGAAAAGGTCACCCGGCATTCCGGGTCTCCACAAACGCCTTGCCAGCAGACCCAGAGCGATCAGAGGGGTCATCAGAAAGGCTCAAGGGAGGCCCCAGGCAGCACAAGAGCGCTCCAAGAGGGACTCCAATTGCTTCAGGACGGCCCAAAAGACCCCCAAGGCACCCCAAAAAGCTTTCCAAGGGGCCTTCAAAACACAAAAATCGTCCTATTCTCTTCGTAAAACTTACAATTTCAGTACAGTCGCCTTTCGGGTTTCATCAGCTGTCAAGACGGCTTCAAAGCCCCCGAGATCGCCTCAAGACGCCCCAAAAGGCCCCCAAGAAAGCTTCAAGACGGCCGAGTTGGGCCCCACGATCGCCCACGAGAGCCCCAAGACAGCCCATAGTGGACCCAAGAGGCCCCCCAAGGGCTCCCAGCACAGACCCAAAAGGACCATGGGAGGTCCCTGGAAGTGCCCCAGATGGGTCCAAAGGGGGCTCCAGCGGGCCCAAGCTCCCCAAGACGGCCCAAGAAGGCCCCAGGACGGCCCATGAAGGCGCCAAAACGGCCCACGAGGGCCCCGAAAGCACCCCCACGATGTTTCCGAATGCCAACATTCATTGATTTTGCTCCCATGACATTCCACATTGTGACCGAGTCGTTGAGGGTCTCGTGGTATGTAGCGAAGATGCCCGAGGATGCCCCCAACAACTGTCACAAGATGATCGTGAGGCCTCCAGCGGTCCCAAGATGTCCAATATTGCCCCAAATAGCTCGTCGACTGCTGCGATATCGTCGTCGTCGTCGCCGTCGTTGCCGTCGTCGTCGTCGTCGTCGTCGTCGCCGTCGTCGTCGTCGTCGTCGTCGTCGTCGTCGTCGTCCTCGTGGCTGGGAGGGGCGCCCCGGGAGGGCGCCAGCCGTCCACACGTCGTCGTCGTCGTCGTCGTCGTCGTCGTCGTTCGTTGTCGTAATCGTCGTCGTTATCGTCGTCGTCCCCGTTTCGGCCAGCCCGCCGGGTTTGCTCGGCCCGGCCCGGCCGGCAATTCAGGAGGAGGATGAGGATGAGAGGACGAGGAAGAGGATGTGGACCAGGAGAACGCGAATAAGAAAATGAAGAAGGAGGAGGAGGGAATTGAACGCCAGGGGAGTGCGGAGGACGAGTGGCGAGTATCACCCAGACAGAAAACGAGCAGGGAGAGGAGGAAGATGGAATCGTGAAATTCGCTTCTCCCGGGTATGCTCACAACTCCCACCTTGGAAACGTTTTGCCTC